GGGGGGGTTTGGGGTGGTGGGGGAATCCTGGGGGGGGGTCTCGAGGGGGTCCTGAGATGAGGAGGAGTCACCAAGAGCTGTACTGGGGTCTTGGGGTGATGGAGGACCCGAGGGTGAGGGGGGGACACAGAGGCACCCCAGGGTGAGGGAGGGGACACAGAGTGACCCCCAGCTGACCCCTGAGTGACCCCAGGGCAGGCTCCCAGCTGACCCCTGACCCCTGAGTGACCCTCAGCTGACCCGAGTGACCCCCAGCTGACCCTGAGTGACCCCGAGTGACCCCTGCCCTGTCCCCCGCAGGGTCCCGGGGACACCAGTGGCGGCTGTCGCTGCAACGTCAACGGGCAGAGGTGCCACCCCCGGTGCCAGAACTGCCACTGAGCCCCGGGGACAGCCCGGGGACACCGAGGGACGGACGGACAGACGGACGGAGCCCCCGCAGGGTCCCGGGGACACCAGTGGCGGCTGTCGCTGCAACGTCAACGGGCAGAGGTGCCACCCCCGGTGCCAGAACTGCCACTGAGCCCCGGGGACAGCCCGGGGACACCGAGGGACGGACGGACAGACGGACGGAGCTGGCACCGGGGTGGAGACAGCCGAGGGCCTGGGAGGGGCCACGTCCAGCGGGGACAGAGAGGACACAGGGACAGAGAGGATGGACACACGGACAGAGACAAGGATGGACACACGGACAGAGCCGAGGACGGACACTGGGGTGGCCTCGGGGCGTGGAGGGGCCCTGGGACCCGCGGGGGGCGCAGCCCGGGGGGCCCAATAAAGCCACTGAGTGTCACAGGCTGCCATCCAGCCCCTCAGTCTCTCTGAACCCCAGCCTTTATTCCCACCGCAGCCCCGCGGGGGCCGGGGTCGAACACGAGGGGGGTGCGGACCCCCAATGCCCTGCCGGGGGGGGGGGGCCCGCCGCCCCTCCCCTCCCCCCGCGCCGGGGGGGCCGGGGGGAGCTCGGGGACCCCCGGAGCGCGGGTTCGGGGCGCGGGCCCTACTTGGGGGGCCGGTAAAGCATCTTCCTGCTCTTGAGCACCGACCACTTGTGTCGCTTCAGGTAGAACAGCAGGGGCACGAGCAGCCCCGACACCAGCAGCAGCTGCGGGCACGAGTCAGGGGGTCCCGGGGGTCCGGGGGGGTCCGGCCACCCTCAGGCACCCCCAGCCCACCCTGAGAGCCCCCAAAGCGCCCAGCCCCACCCTGACAACCCCCAAACCACCCAGCCC